GGTCTCCCAACATGAGCTTTCCAAAGAGAAGGAGGAAATGAATTGATGGGTGAGTGGACGGATGAACAAACAAATGAGTGAGAGGGTGAGGATGAAAGAAGGACTAGAGAGACGCTGATTGCTGCCCAATTTGGGTGCCCACCCAGGCTGCCCCTCACAACACAGAGCTCCCCACCCTCCTGCTCACAGGAGAAACTGAGGCCCAGGAGGAGGCACCAGCCCTGGGCTGTGGTCACACATCTGAGGGCAGGAGCACCGGGTCAGGAGCCGGAGCAGGATGTGGCTGAGGGCTTGGGGTCTGGGAAGGGGTCCTCACCAGCCCCTCAGGAAGTGGCTGACTCCAGCCGCGGGACCCTCATACTCCCAGGAGCATTCGTAACAGGCGCCAAATGTCCGGTAGCAGCTCAGGGCTCTGGGGCCTGCGGCTGAGCCTGGAGGAAATCCTGGAGGTTTGAGAACAGACCAGAGTAGGGGAGGAGTCTCAAGATGAGTCTCGGTGACATTTATGAAATCCGGTGCCTCCACAGTCTGAACAGCGAGCTCCCAGCATACTCCTGTGCTTTCACTCCTGTCTGCTGCCATCTCCCCTGCTCCCCCTGCTCCAGCCACACCAGCCTCCTCATAGGCCCTCAAACACACCAGGCTCACTCCTACCACAGGGCCTTTGCACATGCCGTGCCTGCCCCCAGATCTTGACATTCCAGTTTTTCCTTCAGTGTCACCTCCCCCGCAACCAGCCAACTGGAAGCAGCCCCGTCCCCCTCCATCCCTCAGCCAGCTCTGCGCATGTCATTGCAGGCAGAACATGCATTTGTGGACCTGCTGTCTACCTCCCGCATGAGGCTGTGACCCTAGGAGGGCGACTGGGCTAGCAGCTGATTCCCTCATGTCTAGGACTGTGTGAGCACATAGTGTGTGCCTCCATAAATATCTCTTGAACAAAAGATTGGGTGGCAGAACCTTAGTGGGGGTGCATTGCCAGCCCTAAATATTCCAGCAGTGCCTGCTGGGGAGGGGATTAAAAATTCAAAATATTTAACAGATACTCTGCCCCACATGCTGATCCATCTCAACCGAGGCAGACACCAGCCCTGCAACCCTGCTAGGGAGGAGACGGGGCCCAGAGAGGGTGACTGCTCCAGGACACCGAAGCTTGGTGAGGACAAGCTGGCAGGCTGCAGGCAGGAGCTCCCGAGGCCCCGGGTGGGCCCGAGTCTCTGGCTGGGCAGGGGGAGTGAGGGAAGGGCTGCGAGGGATCTGTCAGTCAGAGCCCAGCATGACCCCGATGGGAAGCTGCCCCACCTGAGTCTGCGTTCTGATACGGCGGGTCCTGAAAACGGCACCTGCTGCTGGTACCACAGGCTTCAGCTGTAAAGACAATGAAGAGAGAATGACCGTCCCAGCCGTTCACTGCTTGGGGAGCAGGGCTCAGCCCGGGGGTGGCCAAGTGGCCATCCACCCCCTTACCCGCTTTTCCATCTATGCACCCACCCACCCACTCGTCCACCCATCCATCTATTCCTCTATCCACCCATCTACCCATCCATCTATTCCTCTATTCACCCATCCACCCATCTATGCATGGATCCATCCATCCAACTCTCCATCCATCCATCCATCCATCCATCCATCCATCCATCCATCCATCTCCCTACCCACCCATCCACCCCTCAATCTCTCAGGCTGCTCCTCCAAAGCAATCTGGCGTCCCCTGGTCTCCAGCCCTGTCTGACACCCAGAAGCCCTGAAACCTTGCTAATCGCCAGTGTACAGAGAGGGAAACTGAGGCACAGAAAGGAAAATGTTGCCCAAGGTCACACAGCTGGAATAGCAGAGCAAACCCAGCCTGGCTGACATGGCTCCGTGATTGAGCACTGACCTGTGAACCAGGAGATCACAGTTCGATTCCTGGTCAGGCCACATGCCTGGTGGGCTCGATCCCCAGTGTGGGGCATGCAGGAGGCAACCGATCAATGATTCCCTCTCATCACTGATGTTTCTATTTCTCTCCTTCTCTCTTCCTCTCTGAAATCAATAAAAATATATAACAAAACAGAAAAAGGAGTCCAAACCCATCCCCTGGAGGCCGGGCCCCTCCCCACCGATTCCACATAACACCGTGGTAGGTATGTCTATCATATACAAATTGCTCATTGTCCCTTCCTTGGCCATTTCTCACTGAACTATGGGAGGTGGGGAAGACTCAAACATCAGCCCATTCTACATAAGACAGAATCAAGGCTGAAAGGGGAGATGCCCAAGTCTGACCCCAAAAGCTGTGATCACCGATCACCCATGTAACAGAGAAAGAAAGGCACAGAGACGCAAAGCCAGCCCTGGACCCAGGTCCTTGGCCCTCCTCACACACGCCCCCCCCAGCAGGACAAGCAGGGGCGACTCACCACAGGGCCGGGGGAGCAAGAGGAGGAGGAGAGGGACCAGCCTGGCCACTGGCCACCCCATCGGGTCCGCGCAGGGGCCTGTGGCCTCCGGAGAGCTTTTGCGCTGCCAGTGAGACCCCAACGGCCCTGCCCTCACCCCAGAACACTTTGAAGCTGAGCATGAAAGAAAAGTAAAAAGGTTAAAAAAAAAAAAAAAGTTAGGTGTCATGGCCCCTCCCGGACGAGTCAAAATGTTAGGTGTCATGGCCCCTCCCGGACGAGTCAAAATGAAAGAGAAACCCAGGAAGTCAGCTCAGGGGTGGTCGTGGCCTCATGCCGCCACAACCTACTTTTGGGGCAAGTCAGACCCAGGGTCCCTGGTCTGGGGTTCTGTTCTGCTGGCCCCAGACCCAAGCTGGGCCCCAAGTGCTGGTCCCCCGGGGGGCCTGGGCTCTGTGTCCTCGGCCGGGTCTCTCGCCCTCTCTGGACAACCTCTGGGACTCAGGAGCTGAATGGAGTCCAGTGCCCTTGGATGTCTGAGGTCGCTCTCCCAACAAATTATGAGGTGCTTGCTGTACACGCAGCCCCCCAAAATGCTCACCTTCCCATTTCCCAAACTCCAGCCTCAGGGCACCCGGGGTCTCCGTTTCTTCTAGACTCAGATGAGTCTTTCTTCTGTGTCTGTTTCTGGGCCTCTGGGGGTCTCAGTGCTTCACCCTTTCTCCCCACTGTCAGCAAAGACCCCAAATGTCCGTGGAGAAGATTCCTGGGTAAACCTCGAAACCACGGCCCTGAGTGACAGAAGCCGGACACGAAAGCCCACTTGTGTGATTCCATCGTATGAAATGACCGAACAAGCAAATCCACAGACAGAAAGATGAGTGGTTGTCAGGAGCTGGGGGAGGGGGCACCCCCAAAAGTTCCTGGGGACGGGCTATTCTTTGAGGTGATGAAATGTTCTGGAACTAGACAGAGGCGCCTGTTGCACAACACAGTGAATGTGCTAAATGCCACCGAATTATACATTTTAGAATGGTTTGGTTCATGTTATGTGATTTTCAGCTAAAAAAAAAAATGTTCACGAAGCCCCGTGGGACTGAGGAGCAGGGGGAGGGTCTCTGCTGGGGGACATCATCTGGGGAAACTGAGGCCCAGGTGGGCAGAAAGGAGGCCCCTTTTCTGAGGATCTCCGTCCCGAGGGCCAGCCGGGCCAGCCAGGGTCAGGCGTCCAGCAGGCCGTGAGGTCAGAGCCCCGGGAACAAAGAGGCAGTGTTCCCGGCCTGGCACAGCAGGGACAGGACCCTGTGGCCCCACAGTGTCACCAGCAGTGCCGTGGGGCCCAGGGGGCGGAGTGGATTTCAAAGACTGATGTATGAGGCCTGGGGGAAGGGCAGATACAGAGAAGGAGACAGGGATTGAGAGAAACATTTAAAAAAAGATGGAAGAGATGGTTGGAGACACAGGCAAACACATGGACCCGCTCCTGACAATCTGAGACACGCTCCCCCCCCCCCCCCGGGGGATGCCATCATGTGCCCCATTTCACAGATTGGGAAACTGAGGCCAGAGGTGCCCCTGACCACTCAAAGCCTGGGCTAGAAGTGAAGAAACAGGAAGACAGAGCCCAACAGTGTGGCTGAGCTTTTGCCCTTTAAGAGTAAGGCACATGCCCCAGGGCTACCCCGCCCACTTTCCTCCCCACCAAAGTTGACCTTTCCAGGACTCAGCTTTTCCATCTGCACAATGGGTTGCAAGAAAGATAAAGAGGATGCTTGTTTTGGGACCTTCCCTCCCCACTGGCTCTGCTTTTGTTGTACCTCTTTCCCATCCCCCCAACACCAGAGCAGCTACTGGAAAAACATTGAGAGAGAAAGAGAGGTACGTGGGGAGAGAGCTGGACATAGGGGGCAAGATGAAGGTGGTGAAGCGGACCAGGGCCCGGAGTCGCGGATTGAAGGGCTGGGCTTTCTCCCAAGGGCACTGGGGAGCCATGGGGGTTGGTGGGCAGGCCCCTAGCCACACGTGAGGTGATGGTTCTACTCTTATCAAGGTCACAGTGTAAGGTTTACCCCGAGGTTCACCACAGCCCACCTTCAAGTCTGTGCACACACACCCCGCCTCCCTTGGCCTGCCTGCTGCCTGCCAGGAAGCCCTGAAGAACTTCTATTGGGTGCCCCAGAAGCACTGCTGGGATATACCCTCAGGGCTGCCCCACTTTCAGATGCCCCACAAGCTCGGGGGAGGGGAAGTCAGGAAGGAGCAGGTTACAGGCATCTCCCCACCTCCGGAAATCAGAAATCTTGTCAGAGGAACCACAGAACTTTCCTACCCCCTTGGCTTCCGTTTTCTTCCCCTAGAGCAGTGGTTCTCAACCTTCCTAATGCCGCGACCCTTTCATACAGTTCCTCATGTTGTGGTGACCCCCAACCATAACATTATTTTCGTTGCTACTTCATCACTGTAATTTTGCTACTGTGATGAATCGTCATGTAAATATCTGATAGGCAGGATGTATTTTCATTGTTACAAATTGAACATAATGAAAGCATAGTGATGAATCACAAAAACAATCTGTAATTATATATGTGCTTTCCGATGGTCTTAGGCGACCTCTGTGAAAGGGTCGTCTGACCCCCAAAGGGGTCTCGACCCACAGGCTGAGAACCGCTGCCCTAGAGAGTAACCTTCACTCTGAGGAAGGGTGAGCTTACTTACCTCCATGTGGTCAAGAAACCCTCCTGGCCCTGAGGACAGCTAAGGAGGATGTTGCAGGATGAGAAGGAATTTGCCAGGAGAAAAATCTATCAATTTATTTAACAAACACATTAGCGGGCATCATTTACCCGTAAGAACATTTTTCATTCACTCAACCAAGATTTTCCGATGTCTGCCAAGGATCATTTGAGGATGTTTTAAAGAATACATAGGTTACCAAGAAAAAAATTCATTCTTTCATTCAACAATCCCAGTTCCTGATGCCCCTATGGAGACATCTGAGTAGGGTTTTGATGGATGTGTAAAAATTCGCAAAAAAATATATTTCCTTAATAAATGTTCCCTGATTTTGTTTTGTTTTACATATATTTTATTGATATTTTACAGAGAGGAAGGGAGAGGGAGAGTCAGAAACATTGATGAGAGAGAAACATTGATCAGCCGCCTCCTGCACACCTCCTACTGGGGATGTGCTGGCACCCAAGGTACATGCCCTTGACCGGAATCGAACCCGGGACCCTTCAGTCCACAGGCCGATGCTCTATCCACTGAGCCAAACCGGTTAGGGATCTGATGTTTCTTAAAGAGAATTTGAAGTGGATTTTTTAATGTGTTTTATTGTGTTTTGTTTTGTTTTAGAGAGAGAGGAAGGATGAGGGGGAGAGAGAGAAACACGAATGAGATAGAAACATTGATTGGCTGCCTCCTGCACACACCTTACTGGGAATTGAGCCTGAAACCTGGGCATGTGCCCTGACTGGGAATAGAACCGGCAACCTTTCAGTACATGAGACCAAGGGCTGAAATGGATTTTGAAGGATGCATAGGTGTTCACGTGGAAAAATTGCATTTACTCAGTCAGTTAGTCAGTCAGTCGGTAAGTGCTCCCTGCTGGACATTTTTTTTTCCTGCTGGACATTTGAAGGGGTCATTTTGGAAGGAGTTCTGTGTAGGAGTTAGCCAGATAAAGCAGGGGAATTTGAGACCGCGCTGGTGGCTCCTCATCCAGCAGCTCACCATTTGTCCAGCCCAACCACTTCCAGTACAGGAAACATCTCTTTTCCCCAGATTCCAGACTAAGTCCCAGGGAAGACTCTGATTGGCTGAGCTTGAGTCACATGTCCACCTTAAACTAATCACAGTGGCTGAAGTGAATAAAGACTCTAGGTCACATGTCCACCCCAGCCTGGACTACAGGAGAGCTTTTTATTTTATTTTATTAATATTTTTATTTATTTTAGAGAGGGGAAGGGAGAGGGAGAGAGAGAAACATCAATGATGAGGGAGAATCATTGATTGGCTGCCTCTTGCACACCCCCTGCTGATGACCTATCCAAAACCTGGGCATGTGCCCTGACCAGGAATCTCCCAGTTCATGGAACGACGCTCAACCACTGAGCTACATTGCCTGGCTACAGCAGAATTTTAAAGCAGAACTAGCCAGAAACAGAACAATTGGCCATTATAGGGCATGAGCTTCCATCACCTGGGATATGCAAGCCACATCCTGAAGTCCAGTTAGTGTAGGGTTGCCAGATAAAACACAGGACACCCAGTTAAATTAGAATTTCAGATAAACAACACATAACTTTTCAGCATAACAGTGCCCCTCGTAATGCATGGGACATATACCGAAAAATTATTCATTGTTTATCTAAAACTAAATTTAACTGCTGGGCTGACTTCGTTTGCTAGGGCTGACATAAAGTTTCACAGATTGAGTGGCTTCAACAACAGAAATCTATTCCTGGAGGCTACAAGTTCAAGATCAAGGTGTCAGGTTTGGTGTCTTCTGGAGTCTCTCTCCTGGGCCTGTGGATGGCCGACTTCTCTCTGTATCTTCACATGGTCATCGCTCTATGCAAGTCCGCATCCTAATCTCCTCATCTGATGACGACACCAGTCATACTGGATTAGGATACACCCACGTGATCTCATTTTACTTTAACTAATTCTTTAAAGGTGCTTTCTCCTTATGCAGTCACATGCTGAGGTCCTGGGGGTGAGGATTTCAACATAAGACTTTTGAGGGAACACAGACTGCTTTGGAGAAAGTCTGGAAGTTTTTGAAAAAGTTAAATATAGAGTTACCATATGACCCAGGAATCCACCCCTAGGTATGTACCTAGAAGAATTGAAAGCAATGTCCCCCACAACAACGTGTATATGAATGTTCACAGCAGCACTAGCTGCAAAGCCAAAAAGGGGAAACAACCCAGATGTCTATTAACAGATGAATGGATAAACAAGAAGTGGTACAAATATTCCTCGGCCTGAGAAAGGAATGAAGTACTGGCATTTGCTACAGCGAATCTTGAAAACATGGTGTTAAGTAAAAGAAGCCAGACACAAAAGGTCACATGTTGCATGATCCCATTTATATAAAATGTCCAGAGCAAGCAAATCCATAGAAACAGAAAGCACATTGCTGGTTGCCCGGGGCTGGGGGAGGAGGAATGGGGAGTGACTGCTCATGGGTACCGGGTTTCTTTTAGGGGTGACAATACGTTCTGGAATTAAACAGTGGTGATAGTTGCACAACTGTGAATTGCTAAAAATCTCAAACCTGTACACTTTATTTTTTAAAATATATTTCAGAGAGGAAGGAGGAGGGAGAGAGAGATAGAAACATCCATGACGAGAGAGAATCATTGATTGGCTGCCTCCTGCATGCCCCACACTGGGGATCGAGCCCACCACCCGGGCAGGTGCCTGCCCAGGAATTGAACTGTGACCTCCTGGTTCACAGTTCGATGCTCAACCACTGAGCCACACCGGCCAGGCAAAACTGTACAGTTTAAAAGGAGAAGTTTATGGTATGTGAATTATATGTCAATTTAAAAATGTGTATGAGAACACGTTTTGCCTGGGAGTCCTGTATTTTTATTTGCCCAATCTGGTCACCATAACTTGGTGAGTCGTACAGAACCTCACAGGCAGTTGGGTGGGTGACTTCCTGAGGGTCCGCTTCAGCCTGACATACTCTAATGACCAGGTCCAACAGTGGGGCAGCCGAGGGAGCCTGCAGCTGCAGGGACCGTGGGAGGCCCAGGAAAACAGAGAACATGGATGCTATCTTGGGACTGTAGGCTTTTCCCAGCCTTAGTTTGCCTTCTGCAAAGAGGGGCTGAACAATTATCATCCGATACTTGTAGGAGGTGGTTCTCATAAGGCACTTAGCCAGATACCCAGTTTGGCACTCTTCAAAGGCAACCATCCTCAAAAAAGAAACTGGCAGCCCTGGCCAGTGGGGCTCAGTTGGATGGAGCGTCCTCCAAAAGCACTGAAGGGTCCCAAGTTCGATTCCCAGTCAGGGCACATACCTGGGTTCAGGGTTCCATCCCAGGTTGCAGTGCCTGCCCGAGGCAACTGATCCATGTTTCTCTTTCACAGTGATGTTTCTCTCTCCCTCTCCCTTCCTCTCTCTAAAATAAGTAAAAATTAAAAAAACATGTCTTTGGGTGAAGATTTTTTTTTAAAAAAAAAAGAAAAGAAACTGGCAAAACTACAGTGACTGCCTGTTCTTATAAATAAAATTTTATTGGGACTAAGATCAGGATTAGGGTGAGACAAAAGAGGCAAGGTAGTGCAAGGGCAGAGCTTGATCCTGGCTTTATTTAAAATGTTGATATTTTGTAGCTCATGCATTATTGCATTAGTTTTGATTTTTTTAAAATATTGAGTTCGGGGAGAGCTTTAAATTTTGCACGAAGGTGAGTGCCTCACCTCACCCTACCAGCCTCGTTGTGTGCCCTGGGCACACAGATTAACCTCTTGGGCCCGCAGCTCCCTCATCTGCAAAATGGGGATGATAATGCTCCCTTCTTTCTAGAAGGATTCATTGAAAAATGTTTACTTCTGGGCTCAGGATGGGGCGGGGCCTGGAAGGGCAGGGCCGGCTCGCCCAATGGGGTGGGGGCCGGCTCGCCAATGGGGTGGGGCCTCCAAGGAAGGGGCTCCCGGGAGGGGCGGGGTCAGTCCGCGTCAGCTGACCGGCTTGATCAATGGCGGGCCCTCGCGCGCTGGGGGCGGAGCCGAGGGCGTGTCCGACGCAGAGACTAGCGAGCCATGGACGAGCCGAGCCTCCTGCGGCGCCGAGGGCTCCAGGTGAGGCCCCTGCGCGGGCGGGAGCGCGGCCCAGGGGACCTGGCCTGGGACGGGGGCGGGACTTCGGCGTGCCAGGGGAAACTGAGGCAGAGGGCGGGGCGCGCTCTGATCGCTCCCTCCTGACCACCTGCTTCTCCAAGTGCTCGCCTGGTGGGAACGGGATATGTCTCCTTTGACATATGGAGAAACTGAGGCTGCAAGCGCTCGCCCGCCCGAGAGAAAGGGGCTGAGAGATTCGCCTTCCCCCACCAGCTGCTCTAATCATAATAGGAGCAACAGCAGCCCATGAGCGCTCGCCATATGTTCATCGTTGTATTAATCCCATTAGAGCGATACAGTCATTAATTAATGGGTATTAAAACTTGCCCCCTTGCTCCTGCCTCAGCTCACCCCGAAGGCAAGCCAGGGAGGTCGGGGCTGTCCAGGTGCCCACCTGTCAGATGAGGTAACGGAGTCCGGGAATGTCGCTAAGCCGAGGTCGCCCAGCAGGGATGTAACTCGGAGTCCTCAACCAGCTCTCCCAGACCCTGGTTATTGGCTCTGTGGGCGGTGGGCAGAGGGTGCAGAAGGCACCCTGGCTTCCTGGGGCCTCAGTTTCCCTGTGAGCCATAAGAGCTCCCCTTTTTTGGCCGGGGCTGGCATTCAGGAGGTTGCACAGTGGCGGCAACTTCTTTGCGCTCCGTGGGAATTAAGAGGATCTGCCTGTTTCCCGAAGGGCTTAGGCCACACTCTTTTGAAGCCACCAGGTTGCAGGGGTGGGGGAACCTGGAAGTCGTCACTGACCCAACAAGCATGTATTGAGTGCCTTCTGTGTGCCTGGCTCTGCGGAGACAGCGGGACCCTCCGCGCCTCCCGGCTCCCTCCTCCCGGACCTCCCCGCCTGGCGGGAAAGATGAGGGCCAAGGCAACAGTGACCCTGCGCAGTGGTCAGCTGCGATGGGGGGCGCTCAGGCACACCAGGACATGGCGACTGACCAAGCGCTGCTGGTGGCCTTGGGGCAGAGGAGACAGGATGTTTGGGAAAATGAAAGAAGCTGAGGGCAGCTAGAATTAGAAAGGATGGAGGGTGGCGGGCACTGAGGCTGGCAAAGGGGGAAGGCGCGCCTGGAACCCAGGCTGCTGCGGGACCGGAGTCCCAGGACTGCGAACTCTTGAAGGTGATGAGGAGCGGTGCGTTAGGGGGAGGGGGGGAAGGAGGTGTTAGGGAGCGCGCGGGCATGGCTGCGGGGCAGAACCCCCCCTCCAGGGCGTGGTGGAGGGCGTGGTGGAGGTGGGGAGCAGAAGGGTAGGCGGAGGCCAGAGACTGGAGTGGGGGGCCTGGGCGTAGAGGAGAGGGTGGGGCAGGGCTGGTGAGCAGTGGGGTATTGCGAAGGGACAGGCTCCGCCTGAAGCCCCAGTTAGACTCGAGCCCCGCCCGCGGCCTCTTAAAATAGAGAAACAGCCTTCTGGTAGGCGAGTGGGGGCGCTGCTAACGTCAGGAAGTGGGGGCCTGTTCCCCTGTGAGGAAGCACCCGTCCCCGCTGAGTCCCATGTTTCCAAAGGGGAAATGGGGGCTCAGAGAAATGTAGCCACTGCTGAGGTGTCACATCAAGTAGGTGATAGAATCGAGATTTAAATCCAGGCAGGTCCTGCTTCTCCTCCAAACCAGCCCACACTGGCCCATGGGCCACCTGTTATGGGGCCACCGGGTTGCAGGCCACCGGCTTGTGTTGGCCGTGGGTCAGGGGAGGAGTGGAGACCGGACCTTCCTGGTTTGGGTGAAGTTCGGACTTCTGTGGAGCATGTATAGGAGCCAGTGACCAGGAGCCGTTGTTACCACCACGACTGTTTTTCCAGCATCTCCCACTTGCAAACGACAAAATGTTAAAACACCAGGTCCCCAAACAGAGTATCCAGGGGCAGAGAAGCTGGCTAGAGCCTGTGTCTGGATTGTGTCTCTGCTGCTGCGGGAGGATCCATCCTGCTTCCTCAGGGCCCAGTTCCACTTACTCTCTCTCCGGAAGCCCCAGTGCTCCTTCCATGCGGTCCCTGATGACATCTCTCCCGCTCGGCTCCAGCGGAGAACTCCCCACGGGGCTTGGTGCCCACCTTGCTGTCACACCTCCGGCCTGTTTCCCACTAGCCTGCCGGCCCAGCCTGACACCGCCCTCCAGCCCCTTCTCTCCCTCTGGGTCCCCTCTAATGCCTCCAGATGGGGTATCTACGTCCTGCTCTGTCTCCTCCCGACTGGGGATTCCTCAGGGTGGAGCTGAGACTTCTGGAGGGGAGGCAGCATGGCCAAGCCCAGCCAAGCACAGAAGAAGATGCTGTAAATATTATTTTAAAAAATCGCCGAAACCGGTTTGGCTCAGTGGATAGAGCATCGGCCTGCAGACTGAAAGGTCCCAGGTTCGATTCCGGTCAAGGGCATGTACCTGGGTTGCGGGCACATCCCCAGTGGGAGATGTGCAGGAGGCAGCTGATCGATGTTTCTCTCTCATCGATGTTTCTGGCTCTCTATCTCTCTCCCTTCCTCTCTGTAAAAAATCAATAAAATATATTTTAAAAAAATATATCTTTATTGATCTCAGAGAGGAAGGGAGAGGGAGAGGGATAGAAACATCAGTGATGAGAGAGAATCATTGATCGACTGCCTCCTGCACGCCCCCTACTGGGGATGGAGCCCGCAACCTGGGCATGTGCCCTTGACTGGACTCAAACCCCGGACCGTTCAGTCTGAAGGCCGGCCCTCTATCCACTGAGCCAACCAGCTTGGGCTGTAAATATTATTTTTAAAAGGCAGTTCCAGGGAATCATGGTCCCCTTCCTACTCCCCTCTAGGCAGGAGCCACTCCACTCTGTGGGGAACAGCCAGTTGAGAGGGGCCTGAGGCCCTGCCGGTTTGGCTCAGTGGATAGAGCCTCGGCCTGTGGACTAAAGGGTCCCGGGTTCAATTCCGGTCAAGGGCACATGCCTGGGTTGTGGGCTCAGTCCTCAATAGGGGGCATGCAGGAGGCAGCCAATCAATGATTCTCTCTCACCATTGATGTTTCTATCTAACTCTCCCTCTCCCTTCCTCTCTGAAGTCAATACAAAAATATCTATAATAATAAAAGAGTAATATGCTAATTAGACCAGACATAATTTCGGAGGACCTTCCAGATGAAGCCAGGGCCGGGAAGGTGGAGCCCCTTGCGAGAATTTCTCGCTTGGGGCCTCTAGTATATATAAAGAGAGGGGCCTGAGGGCGGAAGCAGATGATGCAGGGAGCCAAGGTTTGGGGGTGGTGCCTGGAGAGTTCTGTGTAGGAGCCTTTGGGAGGGGGAGTGAAGGGGTAGGGGGGCTGCTCATCTTCCCCTTACCTCTCACTGCCACTTCACATCTTTTTGTGTTTTGGAAGCAAATTAATAAATTGTGGTTATTATTAACCTCACAAATTTGTCTTGACTCCGATTTATAGAAGCCACCCCTGAGCTTGCTCCTTGATTCCTCTCAGGACCCTATGTAACGGGGCCGTTTTCCAAACGAGGAAACGAAGGCACAGAGGGGTGAAATGCTTGGCGGGGGTCACACAGCCCAGATGGGGGGTAGCCGGACTCGAACCCAGGGCTGTCGGGGGCGTTGGAAGGAAATGGCCGAGACAGGGAAGGATGTAGCCGGTACCCCTGGTTCAGATCCCAGCTCC